TCTTTCTATCTATCTATCTATCTATCTATATATCTATCTATCTATCTATCTGTCTCTCTGTCTGTCTGTCTGTCTATCTATCGATCATCTGTCTATCTGTCTGTCTGTATCTATCATCTATCTGTCTGTCTGTATCTATCATCTATCTGTCTGTCTGTCTCTCTGTATCTATCATCTATCTGTCTGTCTATCTATCTGTCTGTTTGTCTATCTATCTATCTGTCTGTCTGTCTGTCTTTCTGTCTGTCTGTCTATCTATCTATCTATCTATCTATCTATGTATCTATCTATGTCTGTCTGTCTGTCTGCCTATCATCTATCTATCTATCTATCTATTAAACAATATTTATATCTTAAATACATACACTAAAATAAGAAATGTTTATTTTGCATTAAAAAATTAAGACATTCTAAATTGTCAATTGTAAGTTTATTTGTTTGCCTTTTTTATTATACTTTTAGTTTTTATTGTTTTAAAATAAACTTAGCATAAGGTACATTCTGTACTTAACTAATGTTTTCAACAAACTGTACCCTAACATACATTTAGTTGAATCAATAAGATTTAGTATCATTAAGATTAAAAAGGATCATTTTTAGGATCTTTTTTTAAAACAAAATAACCCAGACATTTCATGATAGTTTTCATGTTATTTATTAAATTATATTAATTTATATAGTGTCACCGTAGCGTATTTAGACAGCCACACTTAGAAATGTCTGAATGTAATTTTTACATAAAAATATCAAAGCAATGTTGTTGTTGTTGTTTTAAATATGATTTTTTTGAAAGTGAAGACACATACATGTATTTAGATATTTGATAGCAGATGACATTTTAATATTTCCATGTAATGTTATATAATTCAAACATTTTGACGTGTGGCTTGTGTCCAATTTGTTTTAGACCCATGTGTCACTGTATCATCTCAGCTGAAGCTTTAACACTCTTCTTCTGCTGCCTTGCAAGAGCTCCGTTTTCTTCCGGAAATACAAATGCACTTGTGTTTGTTGTGTCCCAGAGTGTCTGGCTGCTTTATTCAGCATCTGCTGGTGTTGGCAGGTTGTTAGCAGAGACCCTGTGATGCAGCGCCCATGTAATCTCTCTGATTAGTGTGTGTGTGTGTGTGTGTGTGTGTGAGTGTGCATCCAGATGAGTGCGCTGCATTCAGACTCCGGGGAGCGTGTGAACACACACCTGAGACTCACAGCTGTTTGGACAGCACACGTCTAAAACCTTCTCTCCTATTTTCACAGTCAGACTCACTATCACCTGTCGGCTTTTCAAATCTCAGTGTTTAGATCCCGCTGCGGCGTAAAAGAACATCTTAATTATGCTTCTTGTCTGTTACAGTTTACATGCTGTGACGGCAGCAGATCCGAAAGCCCTGCTGTGACTATTGCTCATGCTTTGAATTTGGGGTTTGTTCAAATTCCTAACTCAAACTATTGAACTTCGGAGCATAACCTGTAGCGTTCACACTGCAGATGTGAATTACACCTCGTTTTGTTGAGGAGAGATGTTCTGTTGCTATGCTGTTGATTTAACACATTCATTTGGTGCGTTTATTTATGGAAAAATTAACACATTAAAATTAACTCGTATAACGCACCCCAAATGTTGATTTAAATAAATCGCTCATTAAACAAGACGTTAATATCGTGTTACATTTTAGACTCAATATTGTCTGTTTTTCTCAATTAGTTTATTTTTTTCGTTTCGCGATGTTTCGTTGCTAAATAAATCCGCAGTTTCTAACAAATCGAGTGAGTCAATTATTCAATGACTCACGTATAAAGACAGTCACTTGCTTTGTTTCTAAATGAATCAACCATTTGAACAAATCAGTTAAAAGAATGACTGAATGATTCACTCATTAAGACAGTGACTTGCTGCCACCTACTGGTGGTTTTAGTTTCATATTAAGAGTATTATTTCATTAAAAAAATAACTCAATATAATTTTTTTAACACATTAAGCAGTGTGCAGCAGGGTAGGTGATTTGGTTTAAAAACATTAAAAGTCTCATCACATTCTGATCGCAATCACTAAGTTAAGTGGTTTAAATTTATTTTTATGTATTTTTATCGTCTGTGGAAGGCGTGGGATCATAAAATGTTTGTCCAATCATATCCCTCGGTCCTACCTGCCTGTCAGCGTATGTATTTACATACCTTTATGCACCCTGTTCGCGCAGACATGATCAGCGCGGTCCATTATTCTATTGCAGACCGAGCGAGAATGAAAAGCGTTATTATTGTGAGTAACATTATGCGCTTTATACTGTAATGTTTTCTCACCGTTAAATGAGACCTGAGGTAATCTGACGACAACGCCGTCTCTTGTCATGTAGCTATAACAATGTTATTGTCCTGGGCTGCGTTTCCCAAAAGCATCGTAAGCCTACGTTTATCGTAGCTCCATTGGTTTCAATGGGTCTACGATGTACTTAAGCTTACGATGTTTTTGGGAAGCGCACCCCTGGTGGATAAAGCGGGAAGGAAAAAATCATGTATCTAGAAACCAGAATGTCGTAGAAACTCGTGGTGGCAGGTTTTGCGCAATTACGCCGCAAAATGTAGAAATCAAATTTTTCTAACCTGTTCTCTCTCTTGTTCTGTAGGGACGAGGAACATGCTTTAATTCTGCAGTACTGTCAGACTTTGGGAGGGGAGGGCTCATCCTTCAGCCAGCCCCAAACCCCCGCCCACGTCAGCAGGAGCCTCGCCCATAACACTCACAGCCCCTCCTACCTGATCCAGAGCCCCGCCCAGATCCTGCAGGCTGTGGAGAGGGAGGAGCGAGGAGAGCTGGAGCGAATCATAGGGCGACTGGAGGAGGAGCAGCGGTAGGCTATGAATAGTTCATGTCCACTTCAAAGTCACTGTGAAATCAAAACTGACCATTTTTTAATGGAATACTGCAGTGTGTATTATAAACATTTTATCTGTGCACAATAATCCCTCCCCTCCAGCAACCTGTCATTCACATCAGATCACAGCAATTGGCAAACAGCAATGATCCACTGATCCAAACAAAATTTCACTAAGATTCACATAACAATAGAAAAAACAATCACAGCTTTACGACTAACAACCCAAATGATTTGTTGTACCTTGTTTTTTTTTCTTGCATTGGTTTTTGTGGAAAGTCTGTGGATCTTCATGTAAAACATCTTCATTTGACAAATCCTCTTATTTTAATTTTTTAATTAGAAGTTACAAGTCACTGTTTTAAGAAAAACAAATGAGCAAGTGGAGAATTGTCTATAAAGTCTAGCTGTGATCTTTAAGCTGGTCAATCTGAAGTCCTGTTCAAGGAAAGTCACTATGTTCACTCCGCATCCATATTTGCAAAGCCTCTAGGCAACTATTTCAGTTAAGTGAGAACAACAACTATCTACTTGAATGAGGAAACACTGAAATCTCAAGAAGGTGCTGGCCAAACTCACATCTAAGTAACACATTTCAAATCAGCAATGCGATCTAAGAAGAACTGTCCCATAAATATTGTTTTTTTTTTTGCACGAAAATAACACTAAACCTATAGCAAATGTACATGTGCAAAGTGTAAAACATGGCAGAAAGGCTGAATGAAAATTCTGTTTTCTTTGCAGTGCAATACCTCTCTAAAAAATCTGTTCTATTTATTTCATGCAAATGTTTGTGTCAGTCTAAACTAGGGCTGCACGATTAATCTCATGCGATATTTAACGCGCATCTTATCAGTAAAGCCGGTTCTGTAATCAGCGGTAAATCTCCATCACCTTCGTGCTTTCACATTGAGCAGCATTAACTACACAGAGCTGTTGTTCACTGACGAGCTGCGCTAAACCACGTTCATATTCGCGCGATTTTTTGCGCAGCTCATCAGTGAACAACGGCTCTGTGTAGTTAATGCTGCTCAATATGAAAGCACGCACGTAATGGAGATTTACCGCTGATTACAGAACCGGCTTT